TTCATATTTTTAATTTTTAATTTATAAATAATTATAATAAATAAAAATTGATTTATAAAAACTCTTTTTCAAAAAAAAATTCTAAAAATACTATAATAGTTCATATTTTATTATTTTTATTATCCATCAATGTGTATAAATTTCTTTTAACTAATAACTAATCTATACTTATTAAAAAAATTGGTCAATTTAATTAATTATACTAAATTTATTAACAATTTATATTATTTTATTATAATTTTAGAGACAACTTAGTAAGTGTGTTTCTTTTAAAAGATTAAAATAAGTGGGTTAGTAAATATGAAGGTTTATTTTATTATCTTTTATTCACTTATTTATTTATTTATTCTCTTTTTATTTAATTTTTAAATATTTTCTTTTAAAATAATCACTGATTATTATTTTATTTTTATTTTTAAATAGAGAAACAAAGTTTTTTTTTTCTAGTTATAATAAAGAAGAACTGTAACAACAATGTAGTAAAATGTGGTAATACCACAAGAGTGGTAGAATCTGTTTGTTTTAATTTATTAAAAGATAAATGATGATGGTAAATAGAAATACAATTTTCTTAAATGTCATTATTATTACATTTTTCAAAAATAGTTCTATTGTTAGCGCGAAATATAAATAGTTTATGTTAAACAACTCGCTTATAATATCTGTCTCAATTTCTTAACCACATTAATTTCACTTATAAAATTCGAATATTGCATTTTACTTATAGAAATTTGAATAGTGCAAACAATTAGTTAGTATTATCATATTTCTTTTAACACATTTTCTTCCTTGTGCTAGGATATTTTACGAAGAATATAAGGATAGAAACTATGTTGCCATTAGATTTTTTTTTTTTTTTAAAGAGTGATACAAAGCTAAACACGAATTAATATCACTTGCATATAGAATGATTTAACGTGTGTTTATTTTCATGAAATTGAACGTGCATCCATCTCTTCCCTTATTTCTTTGTTTTTCTTTAGAAAATGTAAAAAAATCAAAATCTGTTAAATGATATTTAAATGGTAAAAACAAACGTATTGTTAGTAATTAGTCCAGTGAAGTTCTTTTGTGAATGATTGAACTTCTAAGTAAGTTTTTGCATTGATAAAATGATATTTTACGACTTTATACTTTTTATAAAAATAAAATAATATTTATAATTATTTAATTAACTACTTTTATTCTCCATTATTATATATAGAAAAGACACAAGTAAATTGTCTTTGGACTTTGCTCTCTTTGATCCTGGAAGATATTCTTTGATTCCATCCAACATCCATGTACTGATGAATCAGTCCTGGCCTGTCCCACTTGCTTACAAGCCATATATAAATTATTTTTTTACATGGTCAACACAACATTAAAAACTAATCATTAATGACTAATTTATATTTATAGGATTTAATTTTTGTTGGTGAAACATTTTCTGTTTAAATTTATTTTTCAGTTTTATTTTAAATTTTTTTTATTAATTAGCCTTGATCTTTATAAATTTTGTTTTCTTAAGTGATTCCTATTATTTTTTTTAATAACAAAGTGGTATGCATTTATAGAAACGTCAAGTTAGTGTGTGTTTGGATAAAAGTTGAGTTCAACTCAACCCATTTTTACTTTAAAGCAATAATCTTGTTGCTTTTAGATTTCATGCATTGGAAAGTAAAAACAGACATTCCCATGCTTTGAAACGGATATCCAAACACACCCTTAGACACTCTTATGTTTTAGATGAATATCATATTATATCACTAAACTACTCCCTAAGAAAACAACTTAATTTCTTGTGTATGTATAATCAAGATTATTTTACTTAAATTAATTTAAATCATCCATTTGTATTATACACTTGAAATACTACCAATTTAAACCAAACAATGGAATAACTTCTCCTTCAATCTATTCCTCTCCATTTCACCAATTAATCCACATCTAGCCTTAGGATTAGATATAGTTTATTCCAAAACAATCCAAATGTAATCTTAGGATTAAATCTAGTTTATCCCAAAACACTTCGTAAAAAAAACACTAAAATTGACCACCCCTCTTGAATATTGGCTCTATGAATCATATATTCTCACGTTCTCTATTTCTAAATTAGTTCTTTATTATTAGCTTTGTAGACTATATAAATCATGCCCATAAAAAGAAATAGAATTTTTTATTTAATGATTTTTTCCCACTTTAGCCAACTGTAAGTTGAAACCCAAGATCATGTCTATACACAATCCAACGATAAATTTGTCAAATACATCATATGTGAATAAATTTGAGTTTTTGTATATTCTGAACTAGAGTTTCAAACGTTTGTACACATTTTGTGTATATCATCAAACCGTAGAAAACTCAGTTACAACTTCTAACAACTTCGGTTTAGATTTTGTTGCAGCTCTATTTTTTGCCACAGTCACATGTGATATAGAACTTGATGGAAACCTACTTCCCAAGAATATCTTTGGAAGAAAAAGAACCAAGAAAGGTGAAGAATGATAAAGATGGTCTGAAGAATTGTAGGATATTTATCCTTGTTTTGTAGGTTACCTAACATTGGGAGGTCTATCCTTCCTTAAGGACTCCATATTGTTGTTTTACAATTTTAGTAGTGATTATATAAGATATTTTTGATCATGTATTTTGGGTCAAGTAGTGTAGAAATTTTTGTCCTTGTATTTTTCTTTAAATGTGTAATTAGTAGTTTAGAGGAGATATAATTAGCCTAGGCCATAAACTTATTTGGGTTTGGATGGCCCAAACATTTTTCTAGCCCATTAAGGTTGGACGTCCACTTGTCTAAGCAAGTGGTTTGGATGCCCAAGCTTAATGAACAAGCCATCCAAACTTCTTAAATAAGTCACATGGTCTTGATAGTGATATCTCAACAAACTAGTCAAAGTAATCATTAGTCTAGTAGTTGTAATAATTTGGATAGGTAATTAGAGTGAGTTAACTTAAGCTAACTTAGGTTATTCTTAAACTATGATTAGCTTAGTTTGCTCCATAAGCTTCTAGACAACTAACTAAACTTGTAGAAAGTTAACTAAGATTGGTTAGCTTAAGTACAAGATAATTAATCATGGTTACACTTGACCATGGCTAGTCTAACTTGCACCATAAGCTAACCAAACTCCTATATATAGGATTTCTTTGTATTGGTTGAACTTTAACTTTGAGTATTAATGAATTAGATGCATTTTTCCTAATTCTTTTTCAAAGTTTGTTTCTCTCCTTGAAACTTGTTCCATTTCTCTTATCCTCTCTTGAGTGTGACACAGTTTGGAGAGACTTATCACTCCGTGAGTGTGGTGTCTCCAATGGGGCTCTTTACCTTTCCATGTGTATTTGAAGATGGCTTCTAACACCTTTGGAAGCCATTGAAAAAGTTAGGAGGAGACCAAGAAGGAAAAGATCCATTAAAGGAACTTAGAGGAGAAACTACGTTAATCTAGTCTCTCCAAAAGGTTTTCCATCAAAACTACTTGCATCGAGTTCATGATTATGAACACCAAACCATGATGTTGTCCCTTATAAAATGATGTAACACACCATTTTCTTTTCTTTTTCTTTTTACCTTTTGCTATATGATATATATATTTTATACATCTACGTTCTTACTGAGGAGTGAGGCTGCTATATTTTATCTTTGTTACCATTTTCACTTACGACAACATACGATAATGGCCCAATGAAAACATCATCAAAGTCTTGAAGTGGCTCTAACACCTTCACCACATCACTCATAGTTGGCCTTGGTTTTGGTTTTAAGGTTTTGGATTTATATTTTAAGGAATGTAAATTTATATGCATAGTGTTTGGTCCCATTATTTAAATTTTATGGATTTGTCCTCGTTCAAAAGGCATATACAATAAAATAAATTGAATGTTTTATATCTATAATAAGTATCCAAATAGATAAAATTATAGAATGTATCTATTGATGAGTTGTTTAATCATATATTTTTTCCTTTAACAATTAAAAATTTCTTGTGGATCCTTTGTGAGACCATCAACTCTTCAATAATGTGGAGATTTTACAATCCTTAAAATATTTTAATGTTTGCAAACTATATGAAAAGGGAAAGAAAAGATAATAGTGGGGTGTGTTTACCTTGTGCC